GCAGGGGATATAGGGATACCACAAGGAAATAGGTAGGAGATATAAGAATGTAGCAATAGAGAGATATGGAAATGGGTAGCAAACACACTAGAGGATTATAGGTAGAGAGGATAATTAAACTTGAAGACTTAGAACTGAATTTGAGACAGTTAACATTAAACTTGAAAGTGTTAATACTAATCTTGATGACCTAGAATTAAACATCAACGTGTTAATACCAAACATGAAGACTTAGAATTAAACTTCAGAGTGTTAACATTAAACTTGAATACTTAGACTTAAACTTGAGTGTGTTAATACAAAACTTGAGGACTTAGAATTAAACTTGACAATGTTAATACTAAACTTGATGACTTATAATTGAACTTGAGAGTGTTAATACTAAACTTGATGACTTAGAATTAAAATTGGGAGTGTTAACATTAAACTTGAATACTTAGAACTAAACATAAGAGTGTTAATACCAAACTTGAAGACCTAGAATTAAATTTGAGAGTGTTAACATTAAACTTGAAACTTATAATGAAATTTGAAAGTGTTAATATTAAACTTGATGACGTAAAATCAAACTTGAGTGTATTAACATTAAACTTACAGACTTAAAACTAAACTTGAGAGTATCAACGTTAAACTTGAGAGTGTTAACATTAAACTTGAAAGCTTATAATGAAACTTTAAGGTGTTAATGTTAAACTTGACGACTTAAAATCAAACTTGAGTGTATTAACATTAAACTGACAGACTTAAAACTAAACTTGAGAGTATCAACATTAAACTTGAATACTTAGAATCAAACTTGAGAGTGTTAACATTAAACTTGAATACTTAGAATTAAACTTGAGAATGCTAACATTAAACTTGAAGACTTAGAATTAAACTTGACAATGTTAATACTAAGCTTGATGACTTAGAATTAAACTTGAGTGTTAACATTAAGTTTGATGACTTGGAACCAAACTTAAGAGTGTTAATACTTAACTTGAGGACCTAATATTAAACTTGAAAGTGTTAACATAAAACTTGAAAGCTTACAATGAAACATGAGAGCGTTAATATTAAACTTGATGACCTAGAATTAAACTTGAGTGTATTAACATTAAACTTACAGACTTAAAACTAAACTTGAGAGTATCAACGTTAAGCCTGAAGACCTAGAATTAAATTTGAGAATGTTGACATGAAACTTGAAAGCTTATAATAAAACTTGAGAGTGTTAATATTGAACTTGAAGACTTGGAACTAAACTTGAAAGTGTTAAAACTAAGTCTTACGACTTGAAGCTGTACTTGAGAGTGTTAACACTAAACTTAATAACTTAAAATCATACTTGAAGTCATCAATATTAAACTTAAAAATTAATATTAAACTACACCTAAACTTAAAGAACACAGAATATTAATTCCCTCTATGAATCATAACAGCACATCACAATTTGCCTCGCATGACGCACGCGTCAAATAAACAGTCCAACCTTTCAAACTCCATGTTTGCAAAATTTTAACGAAACAGCGTTCCGTTCCCCACAATTTACGATACACATTCGTAGCCGGTCGCAGGCAATTAAACGTCCATTACTTGGCAATTACAGAGGTTCCGAGGCAAATAATCGAGAGGGCCGCTGTCGGCCTTCTCTCCGCGGTTTCACGAAAAAAGGAAGAGAAAGAAGCCAAGGAGAAGAGAAAAAACGCTTGCTCATGCGTATTCATGACCGGAACCGTGGATAATGCTCGGAGTCTCCGCACATCATATCTTACACAGCTGGAATATTAATTCTTGTCATTCGTATGCGATGCGAGTTCAATGCTGCCGTGAACACCGTAGAACGATGGTACAGGTGCAAGTCAGCTTGGAAACTGCGTTTTTCTGTCGCCGTCGATGTTGGAATTTAGATTGGCTTCGAATGATTGTTTGATATTTAATTTAGATCAATTAAGAATTAATTATATAGAAACAATTTGTGTAACATAATCAGAATTTGCTGCTGATAGGAGAGTTGCTGAAGGTAACTCATATTAATTATTATTTAATGTAAATTTCATCTCTAATTATTTGACGAAATTATTAATTTTTTCTTCTCAAGTAAATTAATAATTAATTACGTATTTGTAAATAGCGATAGATCATTGAGATTTAAAGTTGTTAGAGCTATTTGTATAAGTCCATAATTAGTATTAAACCTCGAAGCAATTTACGAAAACAATTCTTTGGCCGTTGATTTGCGTCTCGATTAAAAACGCATCTTTTCTAATTTTTGCTCACGTCGAGTCAGTATAAAATATTACGCGATGACGAGCATCAAATTACAAGTAACAAGAAACTCGAGGGCTGATTTATAACAGCACGATTTAAACTGACACGGAAAATTATCAAGTCGTCGATCGCAAAAATCCCATTTGTCATATTCAAGCGCTAACTAGACGGAGCAATTTATTTGTTTCCTTTTATTGTTTAAAAAAAGCACTGTTACCGTTTTATTTCGTTACGTTTTGCAATTATGCTGACAGATTGATATACAGCGTCAATGTGAAACTTTGTGTCGATATATTTACCTAGTCGTTCATTAACATATTAAGGCAAAATGTTAGGTAGGTAGACCATTTAATGCATTTTAATTATGTGTTTAATAATGATTTTATAATAAAGTGGTTTCAATGTATGAGTTAAAGTAGTTAAATGTAATGGGATTTAAAATGAGAACCTCAGAGGGTTTTAGGTTAAAGAACCTAACCTAACTTTGTTACAGTTCAACATTATTGAAGTAAATTCAAAGAACAGAAGTAAAAGTTTTTTTCTGATTTCAGTTCTTAGAAAATTTTTATGTCAAAGGTGTATGAATTTTTGAAGTATTTATTTTAACAATATATCACAAAATTTGAATAACCAACCTTATAAGTAAACACGTAAATTTAAAAATTGAACTATTATTGTTTTCATAGGAACTTCAAATATAATATCTAAAATATTTAAACAATTTTTTATGACCACAACCACGTAATGTTAAGACATAAATAAATTTATAGCATGTATTAACATTAAATGTTAAATAGATGAAAATAATATTATCATGCAAATGAGTATATTTATAAAACACGTTTAACAACATTTGTATAAAGAGTTGTTTTTATGAACTATTCTATATCAATACAAGTTAAAATATGCATATTGTGTATATTTTGCACGTCGGATCGAAGCGAATTTTTTCACAATTAATTTGTATTACCGTGTAATTTACATACGTTCTGCACGCTCTGTGATAATAATCGTTTTAGCCGATCGTTATTTTAAAATGGAAATACGTTTTGCATTCATAAACAACACGATCCTGAATAAATTATCGGAGGAAGGAAAAATTGAATTACAATCGAAGTTTCCATCGCAATTATCATTCCACTCTCTGGGAACGTAATTTGATCAGCTTGAATCGCGAGGTTCAAGGCAATCAATCATTCTTTGTATAGTAAAAGCAGCCATCGTCATTTTGGTATCATTCTAGTTTTGCGACTGCACAAAGCGCCATATGCCAGTGGAAACCGACGACAGTAATTTTAGTTCTTGTTTAAATAGACAACTCGGCAATTAATAATCATGATTCGATCGTTATCTTATAAACCTTGTACATTCATGCTTCAATGTAATTTGTTCGAATAATAGTCATCGTTTTAAAGTAATTTATTCAGAGTCACTGCCAAGGTCAAGTTATTTTATATTTGCCATGCGTAATCTTTAATTTTTTTTTAAGGAAACAATTTGAGAAAGAAATGGTTTATTCAAAGTATCGTCCATGTAGGACTATAAGCTTGTCTGGACTATAAGTAGTGAACTATAAATTTGTATACCACCTAACTCTAAATACAAGTTCCAAAAATATGTAAACTATCACCTAACCAAATTAGCAATCTCCCCAAAGATATAAGAGCAGTTCCGAAACCGTTCGAATTAATCAGCCACCCACGTAAACGAAAAATTCCCAGAAAATTATCTCGCTTACCCAGTGTGACTCTACGAAAGTATTCGAGACTCCCACGATTAATCCTCCTCCGTCCAAATCAATTAAGCCTAATTAGTCGGCACTCTGCCGGTACGTTAACGTTGCTCGCAAGAACAATCCTTAATCAGCCGCGAACTAGATTCATTCTATCATTTCTTGTTCGCTCTTTTTCTTTTTTTCCGTACTGTCTCCTCGTATGAAAGACAAACACCGGTGGCGACACAGCGGTACGCCACGACAGATAATCATCATCATAAATTCATCATCATCACCATCATCGCGAAGCGGGCCCGAAGCATAATCACTCGTTAGCTGAGCCGTCGGCGAATCACTGTCACGGTTGCCACGCTTCGCAGAATAACGAATTCCTCCCGAAGAATAAACTTCGTTTTACCTTTTTCTCGCTTCTTTGATCATAATCTTAATGATAATAATAGACGGTGCTGTGTCATCGCGGTTTCTGGGGGTAATTTTGATGCATTAGGGGTGTTAGGCAGTGTTTAGGGAGGGTGTAGAGTGTTAATGAGCTTCTGTGAATTATGTCTCGAATTTATGATCGGAGATGGTAGGATGATGTAAGGTTAATTTAGATCTAGGATATATTGCTGGAGAATCGAATTGCAAGAGTTCGCAAGCTTCTGCGTCAAGTTTATTCTCAAATCTTTGTATTTCCAAATCACTGTATTCTCAAATTTGTTTCTTCCTAAATTGTTACATTTCCAAATTGCTACGTCCTTAATCTTGTCTACTTCGAACTCCTTTTGTTCCAACTCAACGCAAGGTTCCAATATTTCCCTAAAATCCAAGATCAAAATATGGCAAAATTTCTGGATCTAACAAGAATTTTGCTCATTAAGATCCTCATCCTTCACATACTTCAAAGTGAACCTAGTAATTGAAAGAAATTCTTACGTCAGATAAATACTATCCACTCCACTAAGAGACTGCCTCCAAAGCCCCAAAATCAGGTATTTATCGAACAACAACTGAAACCATATTTCTCTGTTTCCAGGGACGAGCACTGACAGGAAACGTGAACAGTTACCTCGCGATTTTTCGCCGGAGCTCGTGAATTCAGTGCCTATGAAACCGTGAAAACAATTTGGTGCGTGACGATGTCGTCGAGTGGTGAATTTTCGACGTTATCCAGTGGTGAGGCTACCGGGACTGGGGATGATTCGTTGCCCAGTTCGCGGGAAGCAACTGCGGAGGCTGGGAATTCTGGGGGTGGATTCATGCCTTTGCGCGAGTTTCTGGACAGATTTTCGTTACCGAGGGTTGTTAGGGTGGAAGGTGCTGGTGGAAGACCGATATTGTTGTATAAGCAACAGCAAAGATCGTTGAGAGTTACGGCTACACTGTTGATGCATCGTTATCGGCACGACGTCAAAGTTGGACCCGAAATCGTGATCCCTGAAGGATATCCTGGTGAGTGTAATCCTTATCATGTGAATCTAGTTAGTAACTGCGGAACCGTGAAAAAATTAAACCATGGAAAGATTAAATTATGGGGAAATGAAGCCAGGGACAACTATAAAGTCGTTTGTTTTGAAAATACAAGTGTGATTATAAAAATTGGACATTTGAAAACAAAGGTGACATCTACGCCTCCAAGACCGTTTATATTATGTAGTCTTGAACTACAACTGTACCGGTGTTGTTTCAAATAAGCAAAGTATTTAAGCGGACAGAATTTGTAAGACGCTCTTCATAGTACTATAATACTTTCTGGACCATCTTTCTCCTTTAACGTCTTCGTATATCAGTACTGGTAACAGAGTTTACTCAGTCACGTGAATCAACCTGTATATTTAACCCCTTGCACTATAATTTATTTGTCAGGTGCGTCAGCCAGAACTAACCAATCACAGCTGCAATATTGAAACAGATAAAGAAAGTTGAAATGTTATGTCAATTTGGTATTATGCAATCGTTGACTATGCAAATTAGAATGGTACTTGAACTCCAAATTGAGGCGTATTAAAAATTAGAGTAAAATTGATCACTGCTGAAGTATGAGTGCGTTATGAGTGCGTCACGAATGAGACGTGAATGCATCACGAGTGCGTCATGAATTCATCCTGAGTGCATCATGAGTGCGTTATGAGTGCGTCACGAATGGGACGTGAATGCATCACGAGTGCGTCACTAGTGCGTCATGAATTCATCGTGAGTGCATCATGAGTGCGTCATGAGTGCGTCATGAGTACAAATTTTTGAAAAAATGAGGACGCAGATAACAATACATAAAACTTAATAAGCGTCTCAATTATTAAAAAAGCAAACATTTAATCAATTGAATTATCTTAAATGAAATTAGGTCACTCTGTACAGCTATCATTTTGCAGCGGTTTGACGGGATAATTTGATCGGCCCGTTCCCAAGAGATAAATAGTAATTCAATGGAAAAAAGGAAATTGTAACAGCTGTCATAACTAAAAAGTTAATGTGGGAGATAAATAATAGCGGATTCATAAAAAGGTGATCAAATTAGATCGCTCCATTTTCGAATCACGATGCCGTTTCACAGCGTTTTGTAGGATCGGAACTTTTCCTTGGCCGATAAATCAAGTCAAGGAGAACCATCGAAACGTGAGTGGAATAAAAATCGAAAGCCAATATCCCCGCAACCAGAAATTCATTAAAACGTAGCGTGCCGATGGCGCTTAATGGGCCGCGAGATATCGGTAACTGTAAAGAATCGATCGAGTACCGTACAGGGTGTTCCATAACATGTGCGATTCGTTTGGACAATGGATCATGGGTAGAGATCACAAAAATAATGAAAAATGTTCCTCTATGATTATGTTCCTAAACATGTGTATAATTTAATATTATTTCTAAGTTATGTAATGTTATTTCTGCCATTTTGTGGTAAAATAATTCACAGAAAAAATTTGCAATATGGAAATATGTCATATTAGATCTATAAACATTACAGTATTAATTCTGAAAATTTTAATAATGATTTTGCAAATATTTTAATTCTGTAAAAATGTTCTATTAATTCTATAAAAATTCTAATATTAGTCTCTAAACGTTTCAATATTTATTCCGTCAACATTTCAATATTAATTCAGTAAATTGCACTATTAATTCCATTTCTATTAAATTTTAGACCACCTATTGAATTCAACTTGACCCTAATTTTATCCTTGGTGTCCATCACTCATTACCTAAGTTTCGTATGCACTAATTATGGAACACCCTGTATATCGATCACGTCGAAGGCGATGATCGATCGAGCGCGCGAATTCTATCGGGAATTCGATCTCGGATTAATAGGCAGTACGACTGCTTGCGCAAGATTGTACTCAGGAAAGTGGTCGATTAATAAACGACCGCTTTGATCGATGGAAACGTTTACAATTCCATCACGTTTTATTTTTTAGGTATTTATTTTTATGCAAGCTTTCGCGGAACAATCAAAGTTGTAGAACTTGTTTCTGTGGGTTGACAGCGTTTGTTTTATTTGTTGGAATTAGACAAGGTTGGTTGATCAGTGTTCCCAAGTGGAACGTTATTGATTTTGAATAAATTAGGTCGATGTTTTAAATTATGTGTTTGCACTCGGCAGGATGGGAGGTAACGTGAAACAAATTGGGGACAAGCTATCAGTTATATTTTGGATCATTAGTTTTATAAAAATTGAAAAACTGAAGAATTAAAGAATTGCAGAATTGAAAAATTGAAAAATTGAGAAATTGAAAAATTGAAAAATTGAAAAATTGAAAAATTGAAGAATTGAAAACTTGAAATCTTGAAGAATTGAATTGGAAAATTGGAAAATTGAAGAACTGGAGAATTGAAAACTTGAAAACTTGAAGAATTGAAAAATTATCAATTACTCAATTAAAAATCAAAATTCTTAACAATTTAAAAACATCAAACTTGAAAATTTTGAAACTAAAAAACTATCAAATTTTTTGTGGGGCAAAAATATTCAACATCCCAATGAGAATACACCATACATCTCTCAAAATGCGAAGTACTCGTTCGGTAATCACGGACACATCAACACTCGAGCACATCGAATCGTATCCTCGTCTGGAACCCCGAAACCCCGTGATCGCGGAGCTCATTAATAAACACCATTTATAATCGAAGCTGCTCATCAAGCCCACCAAAAAACTTGGACTCGGTTAGTCAGAGGTTTTGATCGAGATGGAAGCGAGAAAAATATGGGAGCCATTGCTCCTCAGACATCAACCGGTGACCTTTCAACTTGCTCGGTGTATCCTTGTAGGATCTTTTTCTTCGTCATTAACACTGCCAGAAAGATTATTCTGTCAACGGAGATGTAATGGGAGGCATGAGATTTATGCGAAGAGAGGAATCGAACGCTTAAGGGTTGCTCTCGAGGGTGTTTTCTGGAGAACGAAGTATTTAAAAAATGCAGAATTTTGTACTTGTTTTCAAAGATCCAAGTGACCAAACTTATAAATTTGTGGACTTAAAAATTTTTAAATTTTGCAAATTTGAAACTTCAATACTTCTGAATTTTTAAATTAAAATTTTAAACTATCCTTTATATTCTAATTCAATTGTACTGATCGATTATACTGATGGATTATATCGATCGATTATAGTGATCAATTACGTGGATTAGTTACATCGACCAATTATATCGACCAACTGTAATTAATGATTGTAGGATAAATTTTAATCGATAATATATAATTTATGTTCTTCGAATGCGTACGTTATGGCTCTTTTTGTTGATATAATTAGCGATATGGGAATATGGGTATCTAGGGATATGGGAATGTAGAGATCTAGATATATAGGAGTTACTGAGATTCTATGTAGTAGAGGAATATAGTTGATTAATAATACTATTTGGGGATTTATGAGTTTGAGAACATATTTGAGGTTATAGAGAGATTTGGGGATGTTTCTAGGGACTTTGTAATCTTGAGACCTAGGGACTCGTGGATCTAGGGATTCTTTGCAAATTTTGTTAATCAAATTAAAAATTTTGCAAATTTTATAAATCTTGAAAATCTAACAAATTTTGCAAATTTTGAAAATTTTAGAAACCTTGAAAAACTTACTAATTTTGCAAACCATAAAATCTTGCAAATTTTAGAAATCTTGAAAATCTTGAAAATTCTTTGAATCTTGTCAATATTCAATCAGTATCCAAATCCCAGTCTAAAACATCGCAAATGTCAAAACCTTAAAACTCAAAAATGTCAGTATTCAAAAAACGACGAATAATTGAAATACAAAGTCGAACAACAAGTTATTGCACGAAGGTGCGGTTGATGGATTAAAAAAGGCCCGGTTATGCCGGTTCGAGGCATCGTTTACAGCATTCTCAAGATTTCCTCGACACGAAGCAACGCGATACATAAACCGCATTTGTTTGCTTATTTACCCGCAGCCAAGTGTGTACATATGTAATCAGGTTGTAGTAGGCACGTCGGTGATTTAACCGTGGTCCACGGAAAGAAAGTAACAGATGGTTGTAGGTGGCAGTGGCAGTTTAACAATGAAACCGAGCGTTGCACGCGAAGGAAGGATAGATTTAAACCGTCACTAGGTCTGATCAAGTATTTCCTATATCGTCTAAATTAATTATTATTAATATCACAGAATAATATTTGGTATTTTATATATTTTGTTAACTGCAAATTAAGAAAAATGTGCAAACTAAGAAAAATCTACAAATTAAGAACAAACTTAAGAAAGAACTTAAAAAGACTTTGAATACGTTGATTTAAATTAAGCGAAATTTATATACTTTTGAACTGAGTTGAGTTACAAAAATTCGATTTAAAAATGACGTACCAACATCTTAATGTATAACAAAGCAATTATTTATGAATAATATAACAACGTCTATTACAGTGTCTTATAATTATAATACAAACTCACAGTACAACTATAATACACATCTACATCTGATATAAACAATATTTTACAGTATTTTGTAACTGTAGTATAAACTTGCTTAAAAAGCACCTCTTTCTGATCTAACAATCTTCCACTAAAATTAGATCTATTAAGTGCAAAAAATTGAACGGTATGACATATTAAAGCTTGACAAGAATAGAACAATTTTGTTCGTACTTGAATGCGGTTTATAGCCATCACTGACCGAATAGGAATGACCGAGTGTCGGACTATAAATATAAAGGAAGTATGAGATAACGCGACACAGCGTGTCGTGAATTATAATTTAATATTGTTCAGACTTATAATAGCTCGTATGTCCGTTAGTATTCACACAAATAACGGTGAAGTAACTCTGCTCAGCAATTTATGTCAAACATATACTCGCTGAGTTGGTATAGCTTATCAGCAGGATCAATCGATTCTTTTCTTTACTGGATTTTGTTGAAGTGAACAGAATTTTTAAATCGATTAAATTTTATCGATTATTTGTGATTTAGTGCAATTGAACAAATGTTAATTTTTAGTAG